AATGGAAGAAGCAGATGCCAGGACACTGGGGAGTTGATGTTTTAGTAGGCCCATAGGTCTTATTCTGTGGGGGGCAGTTGCATCATTTGGAAACGGCAGTTACACTAATACCACTCCCCTTAGCAACTTAGATATGTAAGCTGCTAGTAACATCTGGCACCTGCAGACTGCTCCTATTGCTTCTACTTGAGTCTGCAGGAGTGGACAAGAGTAGTTGGGTTTTTGTATTTTCCCACAGGCTACGATTGACAAATGATCTTGCTATTATGATCTTCATGTTTTGATCGGCTTTTGACTCCAGCATTTATTTTGTAGCGTGGAAGAAATGTACTTTGAAACCTAGCGCTGTGCCACAGTGTGACATGTTTATGTGGTGCCGTGTAGTGTGAGCACTTGTCTGTGGGTGCAAGTAATGGCAAGTGTTCCAACTATTGCAGTTGGAAGAGTTATTGCTCAAGCAGGTTGTCTGAGCTGGCTGCTTGCGTGTGCTCTTTTCCTGTTTCTACCACAAAGATCTTTTATTTTTGTTAAAGTTTACTGTTTTGACCATAGACCTCTTTTTTCGGACATTTAGAACTTTTTAAATGCAGTATCAGCATTGTTGTATACTTGAAATTAACTGTAGAAAGGTAGGGTGAAATCTTGGTGCAGTTCAAGCAGACGAAAGCTTGCGAGGGTGTGATGTGCAGATCAATGGTCCAATGCGGTTCTCCAACCCCAGGCGCCTGAAGGTTGATAGCTCTGATGGAATTTAGAAGTCTGCCTCCGCAATTAATAAATAAAATAAATCAATAAAAATGTATGTTCTTGATGGAAGACCAGAAGAGAAGTGATATCCTTTCCAGTTTGTATCCTGGAAGAATTAGTTACTCTACCAATTTCTTCTAAGTCTAAGTGCAGTGCTGCTTTAAAGCAGTGCTCCCAGGACCATAGGTCTCTCAAAAAGGAGCCCAGGATTTCTGCTGTCTACCTTGCGAAAGGGATTAGGACGGAAAGTGTCACTGACTTATTAGAATTTTTGCCATTTGATTTTAATGAGTTGTTATCTCAAGATTGCTATAATACAAATTGTGCATAGATATTTAAATAAAAAGCAGTTATGGAAATGATCAGGTATTGTTGCTTTTGGGAGGAACCCGTTGACGTATCAACTGTTGCTCATTGAAATGTAGATACTAAAACGTGTGTTAAATGCATGCGCAAGTTTATGTTATGCTGGCATCTAGGAATCTTGCATTTTGGAGCTCAAGTCATCATTCTCTGAAGAATTCATCATTTAAGATAATCACGGGTATATATGATATGTCTTTGCTTTAGAGACTAAACGTGTATAGATAAGGTTTGTTGCCAGAAACCAGTTTTAACTTGGGTGTCACATGGAAGAACCTGGTCCTGTTCCATTGAGGTTGAGTAAATGGGTGCTTGCTTTGTGTCACTGTGAAGAAATGTGATACCAAGTACGACGGCTGCTTGTAAGAAGGAAGGAACCCAAATGCAGGAGAGAAACGATTGCCATGATTTCTAGAGTTCAGTCTATGTCAGACTGTTCCCTCATGAAAGAAGTACATCTTCAGGGGGAGGAAAGAATACCATCTGTTAGCTTGTCTAGCTGATATGGGAATAGATCCTCCAGTGGGAATGAGAGAGAGAAAAAGCGGAAAAAATTAAGTGAAAATAACTACTGAGATTTCCAAAAGAGAGAATCTGGAAGGAGTTAAAAGGAAGAAAAGACGTGTATATGCTTTGGTACATGGCTCTATGAAGTCCATTTACTTGGGACATAAGCTTTATCTGAGTTTGTGGATTTTTTTGTTTGTTTTATAAGACACTTGGGAAGGAAAAAAAACCCCACAGAAACTCAAAACATCATGCAGTTCTTGTGTTTTTTCTGAAATAAATAGCTAAATAGTTTTGACATGTAATTGATACATGAGTTCATTATTTCTAGTTTCCTCCTTATCTGCAAGCATACAGTTTTCAGAGGAAGTTTGAGATCAGCATAAATTCCACATAAAGTCATTCTATATGTCTGATAGCTTTGAATAAAAAAAAAACAAAAACAAACCAACCCCCCTGTTCTATAGCGTCTCAATATAAATAAACAGTATTTTCTTTGAAGTTAAAAGAGGTTCCTGGTAGTCCTTGTGACCCTTCAGAAATGCTTGAGTTTCAGAAAACTGTACATTTGACCCTTGGTGGAGAAAATAATTTTACTCTGAAGTTTCATCCTTGTGCTGATAAATGAAGGGTGAATGTAGCTGAGGGGTTACCCCAGATATCAGGGTTCTGGCTGTGTTTATGTCAGAGCAGATTTAATTTTGACAGATTCTACAGGTTGAGTGGAATGTTTCTGCAGTTAAATGTGCCCTAACTAGGTTTTGAATAGCAAGCAAATTGGAATAACTCACTGACTGGAGCTGCGTGAATTTAGCTTGCTTTCTGCTGTAGGCAGATGACTTTTCCAAAAAAACCCAAACCCTAGCTCCCAAAAAAACATTACAGTAACTTCTTTGTTTATTTGTTTACACTGAATCTTATAAAAATAGAAAAGAATTTTGTAATGTTTCCTCAGATTTGCTATTCCACTTGTATGATTTGTCAGAAAAATAAATAAATGAATGATTGAAATGGAGAAAAAATACGGTAGACTAAAATTTGTTTCCTCACAGCAAAGTGACCCAGGGAATGTTGTAGTGTGTCATGAAATGAGCCTTTTCATTCATCAAGAGGGTTGGAGACATTATTCTTGTATTCTCAGCCTTTGGTAATGATAAGCTTCTGATTTTTTTTTTTTTTTTCTATAGCTAAAAAGTGGGATTTTTTCCAAGGTGCTGTTTTTATTTTGATAGAAAAATGTCTTCATTTTAAAAAAAATTTTAAAATTTTCTTAATTTTTTTGCTGGTGACTAAACCTCTAATAATGGATCTATATAGGTCTTCCTTGCTTTGCTCGGGATGAAGGTGGGTAGTGGATTGCAAAGCATCCCTGTTTTGGAGAGGGAGTGGGAGGTGTTCCTAGCTCAGCGTTGCTTCTGGCTGTGATGAATTTGCAGTGGAACCAGATCACAGTGTAACCTCTGGCCTGATCTAATTATCAGCGTTTACACTGGCTAACTTCCTCAGTAGTGGGCAAAAAGTCAGGTAACTCACAAAAACTAGAAGTGATTAAAATGTACTTGATGATTTTAGGAAAGAATGTTATTTGACCAGTACATCGCTTCCTTACGTGTAAGTTAAAATGTTACTCATTCAAATACTTAAATCATGCTAGAGAGAAATAAAAAAAGAAACACCAGCAATAAGCGGTAAGTTTGCATAACCTTCACTTTCAAAAACATTTTTGTATCAGAGGTAGTGTGGTTGTGTGGACTGCGATGCAGGAAATTGTGATTCCAGCTTGCTCTTGACTTTGAGCAAATAACTGGCACGCTCTTTGCTCCCAAACTCTGGCCTAGTGCTACTGCAGAAGAGCTTAACTGAAGCTGTCTATACGCCATGATGCATAAAATTCTCCTTCCTTATGTTTTACAGTAATGCATGTTGTTTACAGCATTTCTAGCACCACATTTGAGAATATTCAAGTATTTGAGGGTGCTAAAAATCAGACTGATTTCTTCCAAATGAAATCCTGTTCATTTTGGTAAGGACCACACCAGTGCTGATCCTGAGACTAATGAAGAATTTTACTCCAGCCAATCTTTTCTGTGGTTAATTTGTTTCAAGAGAGATTGCACTGTAGTTTTAAAGTTGTCATTATTTGAAACACCACTTAGTTTTATGTTTATACTTGTTTTAGCTTTAAGAATAAAATTTTTTGAAAGTAACATTGTAACAAATAACTTAGCATCACTGCTCAAACACACATTGATGCTGATTTTTTTTTAATTGTAAATAGAGATACTATAAATATTTGAATTTGAGAAGTATAAATAGATTTTGAATTTCCAGGAGGTCAAAACCCCTTGATAATTGATGCTGGACACCTGTTGTAACTTAATGGTATTGGATTGTGAAGCATACTGTGGAAATTAAATAGTAATAGTGGGGGAAACATCAAAAGTACTTAATAACCATCTTTCTAATGGAATGCAGGATGGTACTGTTGCAGCAAGTGAAGTATCTCCTTAATTTTGGAGGAGGTGAAAATGGTCTTTGATTGAAAGCAAGAATGATACTGGTTCATGTCCCAGTTATTTCATGTGTTTTAAAAGATTTCATGTAGTCTGCAATTTATTACCTATTAAGGAGGCAAATGCCATTTTTCTCCCTCTTTTAAAAATAAGATGTGTAACAAAGTAATTATAGGCATAGGTGGGAAGGGAAAGCACAAGATATCCCAAATAGCGGATCTCTCTCTCAGCCATTCTGCTGCACGGCCTTTCCTAATTGTTCTTAATTTAATTATTTGGTGTTAGTATTTAATCATTACAGCACATTCTTTGGGATTGGCTGTGAGATCTTAGACTTCACTGTTACCTCAAAAATACCGTTTACAGCTGAACGACTGTATGTAGTACCTTGATATCCTGAGCCTTTCTTATACTTAAACTAGTGTTTGTGTATTATATTCCTTTCTTAGGGATCCACTTTTCCTGGCAGGTGGAGCTGTGTTTGGCTAGCTGGAGGTTTCCGTGACTTAGAGTGATGGGTTTGTGACAATTTTATTTAACAGGACAAAGGACACGCTTTTGAGATATATCTATTATTTTTAGAGTGAAGCGTAGTCTGAAAATTGCACTGGGAATGTTCTGGGCAATACTTCAATGTTTTTACATTGTCTTGTCTTTTGACATAGGAAAAAAATGCTTACCTCTAAGGAAAACAAGCCGTTGTTGGTATGAAGTGATTCTGGGTTTTTTGAATTTGTTGTTTACGTGTTTCCAATTGAAACTCACTGTGCTAAACAGTGTATAACCTCAGGTGAAGTTACCCAGTGTTCTTGGAAATTAGTTTGTAAACAAATCCAGTAGATTAATCTTTATTTTCGTTTTTTCCTGCAGAGATATTACATACAACATTTCCTTGGAAGCTGTGACAACTCTCGTCGTCTTCCTCTCATGCCAATTATTCCACAAAGAAATTCTGCGAGAGAGCATCGTTCACAAATACCTGATGCATGGTCGATGGTACGTTGTGTTCTGGGGTGGTACCTAATGGCAGAGCAAATGCTTCTGATAGCTTGTTTTGACTATTTGTACTTGAATACAAAAGACAGCAAAATATGTTTTGATGGAAAACTTGTTCTGCTCAAAAGAAAACAGAGCACACAAGCAAACATCTGTAAAAGCTGTTGGAAGGTTTCAGGTTTAAATCTTACAGCCCAGACTTCAGTAAAAATATTTTGGAAATAATTGTCCTTTTTTGAGGGTAATTTCATTAAATTAAAACAGCTTTTACATTTCAGGATGGTTTTTTTTGATTGAGCTATGGGTCGGGGGCAGATTAGATGAGGCTTTGGGCAACCTGGGCTAGTGGAGGGTGTCCCTGCCCATGGCAGGGGGGTGGGACTAGATGGGCTTTGAGGTCCCTTCCAACCCAAACCAGTCTGTGGTTCTTTTCCTGTAACATTGCAGCCTAGGGAACCTAAGTACCTCAGAAATGCTCATGAGTCTTCTTGCTGTACAAGTAAATAGCAACCCCCCAAAAGATTGCACATATGTGCTACGTTGAGTTTCAAGCTGCAATAGTAGAAATACCTGACAGGTGGTAAATTTGGTTGTCTGAGTAATATCACTTGTTCTGGCAAGTTGGTTGTTTTGTTTAAATGCTTTGTCATGGTGGCTTTTTTACACATTTTGGTCAGGCTACCATTCATCCTCTTTCAACTTTAAATTCCACGCAGGCAGATTTTTGGGAAGTATAACTATTGTCTGGTTTTCTGAAATTTCTACTAGATGTAAGAGAGACGTACTGCTCCAGAGTGGTGTGCAGGGAGAGGAGGGAGGATCAGTCTGGCTGTAGGCAGAGGGAGGACAAGGCAGACTTCAGCCTGAAACAGCATCAGGGTAGAGGCAGAGCCTCAGTATTTGTAGGATTTGGTGGTATTTAAATGTCTGGACCAAAGGAATTGAGAGTTTGAGGCAAAATGGGGAATGTTTAGGTGAAGGGGTAATATGGGGTCTAAGAGGTCAGAGTTGGGAGTAGCAGGTACCTGACCTCTGGAGAGAGGGGTGGGAATGTGGTGGCTGGGAATCTAGGGCAATGTGAAGAGATGGAAGGGCACTGCTTAGAATCACGGCATCATAGCATCACAGAATGGTTTGGGTTGGACAGGACCTCAAAGCCCATCCAGTTCCACCCCCCTGCCATGGGCAGGGACACCCTCCACTAGCCCAGGTTGCCCAAAGCCCCATCCAACCTGGCCTTGACCACTGCCAGGGAGCCAGGGGCAGCCACAGCTTCTCTGGGTAACCTGTGCCAGGGCCTCCCCACCCTCACAGGGAAGAATTTCTTCCTCGGATCTCATCTCCATCTCCCCTCCTGCAGCTTCAGGCCATTCCCCTTGGCCTGTCACTCCCTGCCCTTGTCACCAGCCCCTCTCCAGCTTTCCTGGAGCCCCTTTAGGGACTGGAAGGGGCTCTAAGGTCTCCCTGGAACCTTCTGTTCTCCAGGCTGAACAACCCCAACTCTCTCTGCATCTATATAACCAAAGCATGGAGCAAAAACTAAACAAATATAATGTTTCTTTCACTTGCGTAAATATTTTTCCAGTTGTGTCTTGAGGTAAAAGAATGCAACGATTCCCCAAATTAACTGATTGATTTAAAAGTAGTATTGAGAACAGAAAACTACAAAAAATTAGTTTCCATGATCCTGCTGTTGAAGGTGCTCCTTCAGAGCCTAGCTGAAGTCAGTGCAGCTTTGCATGGGCAAGACCTTGGCGTTCTTTCCCTTTCCAGTCTGCTCGAGACTGGGAGAGTTACTGTCTGTGTTTAATGCCAAACACCAGCCTTTGCACCCTGCTTGGGCTTTGTCGTGCCAAATTTCGCAAGCTGTGAGTCAACTAAAGCTGTTTTCTTTTTCTTTTCAGTCTCCCATATACCAGCAGACTTGTGAAAACTTTACTATATAATTTCATTAGACAAGAAAGAAGCCCTCCTCCAGGGACCCACGTCTTTCAGCAGCAAACAGATGGAGGAGGACTGCTTTATGGAATTGCATCTGGGGTGGCAAGTGAGTCTTACTTTTTATAAACTATACTTCAAACCTAATGAAATATTGCCTGTAGCCCATTTGTTTTTCAACAAGTGATACCAGTGTGCATGCTCCGTGTAGAAAAGCTGTCCACAGGCCTGCTTGGATTGTAATCCTATACGCTCCATCTTGAGATGGGTTAGAATTCGAAGCAATTCTATCTGCAGACACTGCAGGGATATCTTCCCTGATGGACAGCCTGTGGTAAAAGTAGCACTTAGTCTTTTTTGTTTTGTTGTTTTTGTTTTTTTGTTTTGTTTTGGGTTTTTTTGTTGATATTAAAAAAAAAAAAGCAAGTAATACCCCATTTGATAATGCTTTAAATCTGTTAATGTTGTAAGAAATACTTTTATGTGCATATTTAATTCTTTATGATTACTCAGTGGATATGGTGACCTGCTCTGTGGCTCTGCTTGAGCAGAAGGTTAGACTAGGTGGTCTCAGAGGTCCCTTCCAGTCTCAAGGATTCTGTGATATAAAAGAGGGGCGTAGCTAGGAATTTTTGTAACGTATTGAAGTGTATGCCTTTCCCAGTAGGTTGACTAATGTTTTTTCCTGAATAGTATGACTAAATTCTGAACTTTCGTGGGTGGACTGTTTGCTATAGAGAGGTATTGCCTGAAGAATATGAAAGACTTGTTGCCATTTTTTGTTAGGAAAAAGGTTTCTCATGTTTGTTATACTATATATCATGTTTTGGTTTGTGATTGCTCTCTTCATCACACCAGATGTGTTTTATCAGTGTGTGTATTACATTTAAAAATTCTTCCTAAAGGTTTTTCTTTTCCATGTAATATGAATAAATATAATATATTGCTAGCAGTTATAGCATATGTTATTCTCTTTTTCCCCCTGATAAACTAAATAACACTTTGCAAGTCAGTTGCTGTTAAAACTGATACTATTTCTTTTGCTCTTTTGTGAAATCTGTTCAGTCGTGGCATCCCTAGGGGATATTAAAGTTCATGCTGCAAGTGGTCTGTCAGAAAATATTTTACGGTCTGTGACAGTGCGCGTGGATCTCCTCATGGAGGCAGTAAACGAGCAGTTAGTCGTAGCTTAAACACGTCGCTGCTGCTGCATAAGATGCAGTTGGTTACACGCAGCTCAAAGTACTGCTGGAACAACCATCTCCTTTCCAGTTTCCAGTTTACACGCTCAAGGGTAGACCACCACTGTGGTTGGGTTGTGCCTGTAACATAAATGCATCAAAAAAGCAGTTGCTTGTTTTGCAGGTTATTTGAACATAGAGGACAAATTAATTAAATTGTTCCCTGCAACCTTTTTCTTTTAGAGTCCCAACAGGTACATTCTCTTCCTTCTTTTCAATTGTAAGAGAAAATTGCTCTTAATGTTTTTCTGAGGCAATTTTCAGTATGTGGTTTGTACTTTTGTTTGTGACTGAAGAGCAGTTCTCTCTGCGTGTTTTAATACCTCTGTTTACCTGATGGTTTTATTTTTCATGGTTCTAATCTCTCCAGTTATGCTTGAGTGTCTGTCTGCCTTAGTGCAGCAACAGGCAAAACAATGTTTTTTTTTCCTCTTCTGGTCTTTGATATCATATCCCTTCATGACTTTTTACTTCTTGTACATTGAGTTAGACTTAAGAACTGCAAAAATTTCTTAATGCAAACTCTTAAGGTTTCAGCCTACGTCTGTTCTTGTCTCTTCCTACACTTCCACCCCCTTCACTCCTCTTGAACCATTCTCTTAACAACTCCCTTAGCATACTCCTACGCTTATTTTCTTGCCTCTTTCATGAGTACCTGAAGTGCCATCTCTTGTCCCAGTGAATTAAGTACTTTCATTTAAAGCTTTAAGAGCCCTTATAAAGAGCTTCCTAATGACCTGCCTGTGAAAGGGAGGGAGGGGGGGAAAGCACCGCATCCTGTTAGAAAACTAGAAAACAGAAATATTTTTTCTGTTTGTGCCCAAAGAGTTGCTTAATGTTTTTTGTGTCTGATTATCGATGTTGGACTATAGATGAAACTCAGACACAATACAGTTGGCGTATTTGCCCATCCATAAATATCTTTGAATTAACTCTTTGCAATCCTTTGTTTTATATAACATCAGGTATGTGCGTAGAGTGCAGTGCAGATTAGGAAGCAGCAACACAAACTGATAGTCTGTTATGGAACAGAAGCAAGTTTTGAGCAAGGAACAGATGTGGAAAACTTAGACGTGACTTCTATATTGTGTTATTTTTGTCTATTTTGTAATCTCTAAAGAGGTAAGAATTGAAAGAAGAATGGAAGAGTTGAAAATTCACTTTTATGTTGCTCGTTGTCTCTTAAATACTGCATAATGCTTAAAATAAGTTTACTGAAATAGTCTAAATATAATCGATTTAGGATGAAAGGAGGTAGGAGCCTGCTTTTAAAAATAATTTATTTTTCATATGAAGTTTTGAGGTCTAAAATAATTATTGTACTTGTTAATTTGAAATTTTTTAACTTGATACCACAGTCATCTCTATGCTACCATGTATTACCTTATGCATATTTTGTAGTCACTTGCACAGCAGCAGCAGCAGATCAACAAACTCGTATAAGCACTGTATTTTAAATCCACCCCCCCTTTTCCTTCCTTGTGATTCAGCCCAAGTGATGATTTTACACGCTACGACCAGAAGTTTACCCTTTCCCACAGTTAACCTTCTCCTGCTTCTCATCCTTTGTAGCCTGTTTTTTTTCCTCTCATGAGCCTCCTTAACTCTGAAACTGTACAGCCAACATCCTTACACCAATTACTTCTCCCTGCTTTGGCCTCTGCGTGCAGGTTATCTACGTACAAGTACCTTTGTCTGTCCTGTATATGGAATACCTTGATAAGAATTGTATTGCCAATTATGTTATCCTCTGGTAATTAAATAAACAATTGTGGGTTTGGAATGAGGTGGGGGAAACAACGATATTTTAGTTTTGTAACTTCACGAAGGACATTCTTCTAGACTGAGTCAACTTTGCTTTCTCTTTGCAGTCTTTTTGTAGGTGTGCGAAATAATTGTAAAGTGCTGCTAGATCTGATGGTATGTCATTGATGTGTTGTGAAGACATAAATTATATCACTATGCATGGCGGTAGAGATTAGACCTCATCTATTAGAAATTAATTTTTCTTGGTTCACAAGGTACATTGAACCAACTTACCTTCAAAAAATATTTGTTTTGTTGGTTTTAAATCTCCTCTGTTTTTTTTTTTTGAGTAGTATTAGCATTTGCCAGTTCATGGTCCACAGTTAACCAAGTTGAGAGAACTTTTTATAGGCAAGCAAAAATTTTTAATAAGTCATTTTATTTCTTGCAAAATAAAATTCACGTTACAGTTAGGAACTGCCAAACAGATGCTATGCTAAGACAGGAAAATGTTAGTGCTGCTCGAAACTGTTGCAAAATACGTCAGTTTAACTGGTTTCATTTGAAATAGTTGATCCAGTTTATACTTTGCTATTAAAAACCCCCACTTTAATGCATCTTGCAGTACTTAGGAGTTACTGCAATAGTAAGATCTAATTGACTTAATTTGTGCTGTTTAGATGATTATAGATGTAATGGGTACAATGTTGTACCTGTAAGAAACAAATGAAAAGGCAGTAGCTGGATTCATCTTCATTAACCACTTAAGCAATCATCATAACTAATCTGGCCCACAAATGTACTGTTGTGGCATTAATATAAATTGCAGAATTCGGTGTATAGTGGTCAATAATGACTTGTTTTCTCATGTCTGTACTCTTTGGTTGGAACTAGACAATTAATGACTTTCTATCATGTAAGTACATACTTCACTCTGCATTATGTCATTCAGCATTAGTGTACTTGAAGGCTTCTGATTACCTGTGTTGTGCATCTGTGACTTACATACATTACAGCATCTTTTTTTTTTTTTTTTTGGTGCTACATTCTGGTTAATAGCACTTTTCATGAGGTCAAACTCATCTTCTGTAGCACAGAAGAACATTGCCTCTGGCATAAATCTCTGCAGGCCTGGGATGTATTCACTATTAAGCTCTTACACACTTCCTTTGACATACCTTGTGTTATATTGTCTTTTGTTTTTTCTTGCAATCTAATTTATCTTTGTGGTTTTGAATGATGCGAGAATATAGAGGAGTTCTACAGCAGTAGCTCTTCTGGTAGCATGCCTAGGCCCCAGGTTCACCAAACTCTTGGGGCTTTCAATCACAAGGACCTTGTATCTAGAAGAGTCATAGTGTAATTAGTTAAGAAATTCTTGAGCTTTCTTGTAAGCTTCACCAATGCATTTTTGATAGTAAAGCACCAGTGATTTTGAACTAGCTGGACAGGTAGCATACACTTTTGCTTTGGGACTCCCGCTCTTTCCATAGACACTGACAGCAATGATAGCAGAGCATCCTTTCCTAGAAGAGCAATTTATACTGTAAGGTCCTGGGCTTGATAGTTCTTGAGAGTCTTCCATTGACTCTGATGAGACTTACACATTTGCAGGGAGCTAGTGGTAGGGTTTTTTTCTTTCCTTCAGAGAGGTAGATGCTCCTGGGGACCCTTGGCTGCTACCACTCCACTCTTATGGCAGTGACAAAATATTTCATGCTAAACATCCTCAAGGCTTAGATGTTTTTAAGTCTTCTGTAACACCTCTTTTCTGTGATATCTACCTGACACTATCTAGGTTCATGGTATGCTGGGAGCTCTGCTGCTATGCTAATGCTGTCTCTTCCATCTTGTCTCTTGCCCTATATGTCGACTGTAAGTTGTTTAGAGTAGGGACCATCGTTGAGTACATATAATACATAGCATAGCGAGGCTGTGGTTCGTGACTAGAGCTTCTGATTTCTGTGGTCATACAAATCATAATTGTAACCATATGTTCCAGCTTGTTTACTGAGAGTGCTGCAGCAAGTTTCACGAGGTGTGTTGGTGATTTATCTCCCTGACATTTATCCTGATATTCCAAAACCTGAGCAGCTTGAAATAGCCCATTTAAAATTAAAAAAAAAAAAAAAAAGAAAAAGAAAAAAGAAAACCTATTGGCTCAGAAATTATTTTTCTTCTTTAATACTTCAGGAAAAATTGCTTTTAAAAGAAATCAAGAATCAAACTGATATATTGTGACACCAAAAGTTTTAAAACTTGCTATCTTGCAAGGACTAGGGCTAGGAAAAAGGAATTTTATATGGGTGAAAAGGAGGCTTTCCAAACTCTTTTTAGCTCTACAGAATTACAGAAGTGGAAAATGAGATAAATGCGATAATTATAAAACTTCAATAATCACTTATTTAAAAAAGGAAGTGTTATACTTGAGTTTTTCTTAAAGTCCTACAAACTTCAGCTCAGGGATGGTAAGAAATCCCATAACTCTTCAGTTTATAATCACGTGTCAACAAGCGTGTTCATCTACATAACATTTATTTTAGCAATAAATGTGAAAATGCTTTAAGAAGATTGTAAACACTATTATTCCCTCTTCATTTTTGAGCATGATAAAGAGGATTGACCGCGCCATCTAAGAAATGGACCAAAATTGGGGAATTAAAGTCTTCAGGTTCAGCATCTTCTTTGACCGAAAGGGTGAGGGTTTTTTTGCACTAATAGGGGATATTAAAGTAACACCTGTGACTTAGAACTCCATAAGGCATTTGTTCTTCATGATTTTGAAAATATCTGCAGTGAACCAGTCAAGATGTGGTCTTCTGCTGCACGTTTTTCTGATGAAAATGACTCAGTAGTTCAGGAAAAAGGATGATGATAAAGCACAACAAATTCTTCTCCTTTTTTTTTTTTTGTTGCTCTGTGTCAAAATGTGGTTTTCAAGTCTGCTAATGGATTAAATTCATCCAAAGCTGCATTTGTTACTAAATTACATATTAACTGGTTTCTCTTCATTCTCCTGCCAGATGTCTGTACCACCTTTTTGGGGTGGGACCGCTTATACATCAGGCCATTCAGATTAAAAATTGCCCCAAGTTCAGCATAGTGGGGGAGTCGTTTTGCTTCCTGACTGGCACATGCACTTCTTCAAAACTTTTTTGTTGTTAAATTCTGATTTTCAGTTATTGGTCATGTCTGTGAAGAGTAAA